AGCTAAAAAAATGTGCCAAAAAGCCCTGGACAGTTACACAGAGTAATGGAGATGTCCTGACAGAAATGAACTCATGGAGACAAGTGCTCAGCCACACCAGATGGAGACACTGGATGTATTCTCTGGTTCCCTGAGCGGAGACTGTCAACAATTGACCTCCTGCCTGCTAACAAGTAGGTGGTAGAAGATGATTCATTAGCTGAAATCGGACGAGTTGAGCTAAGAGTTGTATTTATCACAGCTAGGCTGTAAAGTAGAGAAATGTTGCAATATGCTGTAGTAGAAATATGTAAAATAAACAGAACAGCAGCTATCTATGAATCTCTGTTAAAGTTACAACTTTGAATTTCTGCTAGAGGTACAACACCTGATCCCAGAATATCTGCTAGAGGTACAACACCTGATCCCTGAATCTCTGCTAGAGGTACAACTGATCCCTGAATCTCTGCTAGAGGTACAACTGATCTCTGAATCTCTGCTAGAGGTACAACACGTGATCTCTGAATCTCTGCTAGAGGTACAACAACTGATCCCTGAATCTCTGCTAGAGGTACAACTGATCTCTGAATCTCTGCTAGAGGTACAACAACTGATCTCTGCTAGAGGTACAACTGATCTCTGAATCTCTGCTAGAGGTACAACAACTGATCTCTGATAGAGGAACAACACCTGATCTCTGCTAGAGGTACAACACCTGATCTCTGCTAGAGGTACAACAACTGATCTCTACTAGAGGTACAACAACTGATCTCTGCTAAAGGTACAACAACTGATCTCTGCTAGAGGTACAACAACTGATCTCTACTAGAGGTACAACAACTGATCTCTGCTAGAAGTACAACAACTGATCTCTGCTAGAGGTACAACAACTGATCTCTGCTAGAGGTACAACAACTGATCTCTGCTAGAGGTACAACAACTGATCTCTGCTAGAGGAACAACACATGATCTCTGCTAGAGGTACAACAACTGATCTCTGCTAGAGGTACAACACCTGATCTCTGCTAGAGGTACAACACCTGATCTCATAATCTCTGCTAGAGGTACAACAACTGATCTCTGCTAGAGGAACAACATCTGATCTCTGCTAGAGGAACAACACCTGATCTCTGCTAGAGGTACAACAACTGATCTCTACTAGAGGTACAACAACTGATCTCTGCTAGAGGTACAACAAATGATCTCTGCTAGAGGTACAACAACTGATCTCATAATCTCTGCTAGAGGTACAACAACTGATCTCTGCTAGAAGAACAACACCTGATCTCTGCTAGAGGAACAACACCTGATCTCTGCTAGAGGTATAACAACTGATCTCTGCTAGAGGAACAACACCTGATCTCTGCTAGAGGTACAACACCTGATCTCTGCTAGAGGTACAACACCTGATCTCTGCTAGAGGTACAACAACTGATCTCTGAATCTCTGATCTCTACTAGAGGTACAACAACTGATCTTCCCTAGAGGTACAACAACTGATCTCTACTAGAGGTACAACAACTGATCTCTGCTAGAGGTACAACAACTGATCTCTGCTAGAGGTACAACAACTGATCTTTGCTAGAGGTACAACAACTGATCTCTGCTAGAGGTACAACAACTGATCTTTGAATCTCTGCTAGAGGTACAACTAATCTCTACTAGAGGTACAACACCTGATCTCTGACTCTCTGCTAGAGGTACAACAACTGATCTCTGATAGAGGTACAACACCTGATCTCTGCTAGAGGTACAACACCTGATCTCTGCTAGAGGTACAACAAATGATCTCTGCTAGAGGTACAACAACTGATCTCTGAATCTCTGCTAGAGGTACAACAAATTATCTCTGCTAGAGGTACAACAAATGATCTCTGCTACAGGTACAACAAATGATCTCTGAATCTCTGTTAGAGGTACAACTGATCTCTACTAGAGGTACAACAAATGATTTCTGCTAGAGGTACAACAACTGATCTCTGCTAGAGGTACAACAAATGATCTCTGCTAGAGGTACAACAACTGATCTCTGAATCTCTGCTAGAGGTACAACAACTGATCTCTGCTAGAGGTACAACAAATGATCTCTGCTAGAGGTACAACAAATGATCTCTGAATCTCTGCTACAGGTACAACACCCGATCTCTGCTAGAGGTACAACAACTGATCTCTGCTAGAGGTACAACACCTGATCTCTGCTAGAGGTACAACAACTGATCTCTGCTAGAGGTACAACAACTGATCTCTGAACCTCTGCTAGAGGTACAACGCCTGATCTCTGATTCTCTGCTAGAGGTACAACACCTGATCTCTGAATCTCTGCTAGAGGTAAAACAACTGATCTCTGCTAGAGGAACACCACATGATCTCTGCTAGAGGTACAACACCTGATCTCTGCTGGAGGTACAACACCTGATCTCTGCTAGAGGTACAACACCTGATCTCTGCTAGAAGTACAACACCTGATCTCTGCTAGAGGTACAACAACTGATCTCTGCTAGAGGTACAACAACTGATCTCTGAATTTCTGCTAGAGGTACAACTGATCTCTACTAGAGGTACAACAACTGATCTCTGCTAGAGGTACAACAACTGATCTCTGCCAGAGGTACAACAACTGATCTCTGCTAAAGGTACAACAACTGATCTCTGCTAGAGGAACAACACCTGATCTCTGCTAGAGGTACAACACCTGATCTCTGCTAGAGGTACAACAACTGATCTCTACTAGAGGTACAACAACTGATCTCTGCTAGAGGTACAACAACTGATCTCTGCTAGAGGAACAACACCTGATCTCTGCTAGAGGTACAACACCTGATCTCTGCTAGAGGTACAACAAATGATCTCTGCTAGAGGTACAACAACTGATCTCTGAATCTCTGCTAGAGGTACAACAAATGATCTCTGCTAGAGGTACAACAAATGATCTCTGCTACAGGTACAACAAATGATCTCTGAATCTCTGTTAGAGGTACAACTGATCTCTACTAGAGGTACAACAAATGATTTCTGCTAGGCTAGAGATACAACAACTGATCTCTGCTAGAGGTACAACAAATGATCTCTGCTAGAGGTACAACAACTGATCTCTGAATCTCTGCTAGAGGTACAACAACTGATCTCTGCTAGAGGTACAACAAATGATCTCTGCTAGAGGTACAACAAATGATCTCTGAATCTCTGCTACAGGTACAACACCCGATCTCTGCTAGAGGTACAACAACTGATCTCTGCTAGAGGTACAACACCTGATCTCTGCTAGAGGTACAACAACTGATCTCTGCTAGAGGTACAACAACTGATCTCTGAATCTCAGCTAGAGGTACAACGCCTGATCTCTGATTCTCTGCTAGAGGTACAACACCTGATCTCTGAATCTCTGCTAGAGGTAAAACAACTGATCTCTGCTAGAGGTACAACACCTGATCTCTGCTAGAGGTACAACAACTGATCTCTGCTAGAGGTACAACAACTGATCTCTGAATTTCTGCTAGAGGTACAACTGATCTCTACTAGAGGTACAACAACTGATCTCTGCTAGAGGTACAACAACTGATCTCTGCTAGAGGTACAACAACTGATCTCTGCTAAAGGTACAATAACTGATCTCTGCTAGAGGAACAACACCTGATCTCTGAATCTCTGCTAGAGGTACAACACCTGATCTCTGCTAGAGGTACAACAACTGATCTCTACTAGAGGTACAACAACTGATCTCTGCTAGAGGTACAACAACTGATCTCTGCTAGAGGAACAACACCTGATCTCTGCTAGAGGTACAACACCTGATCTCTGCTAGAGGTACAACAACTGATCTCTACTAGAGGTACAACAACTGATCTCTGCTACAGGTACAACAACTGATCTCTACTAGAGGTACAACAACTGATCTCTGCTAGAGGTACAACAACTGATCTTGCTAGAGGTACAACAACTGATCTCTGCTAGAGGTTCAACAACTGATCTCTGCTAGAGGTACAACAACTGATCTCTGCTAGAGGTACAACAACTGATCTCTGCTAGAGGTACAACAACTGATCTCTGCTAGAGGTACAACAACTGATCTCTGCTAGAGGTATAACAACTGATCTCTGCTAGAGGTACAACAACTGATCTCTACTAGAGGTAAAACAACTAATCTCTGCTAGAGGTACAACAACTGATCTCTACTAGAGGTACAACAACTGATCTCTGAATCTCTGCTAGAGGTACAACAAATTATCTCTGCTAGAGGCACAACAACTGATCCCTGAATATCTGCTAGAGGTACAACAACTGATCCCTGAATATCTGCTAGAGGTACAACAACTGATCCCTGAATATCTGCTAGAGGTACAACACCTGATCCCTGAATCTCTGCTAGAGGTACAACACCTGATCTCTGAATTTCTGCTAGAGGTACAACAACTGATCTCTGAGTCTCTGCTAGAGGTACAACAACTGATCTCTAGTTCTCTGTTAGAGGTACAACAACTGATCTCTGCTAGAGGTACAACAACTGATCTCCGCTAGAGGTACAACAATTCATCTCTAGTTCTCTGCTAGAGGTACAACACCTGATCTCTGAATCTCTGCTAGAGGTACAACAACCGATCTCTAGTTCTCTGCTAGAAGTACAACACCTGATCTCTGAATCTCTGCTAGAGGTACAACACCTGATCTCTGAATCTCTGCTAGAGATACAACACCTGATCTTTGAATCTCTGCTAGAGGTACAACACCTGATCTCTGAATCTCTGCTAGAGGTACAACACCTGATCTCTGAATCTCTGCTAGAGGTACAACAACTGATCTCTGAAACTCTGCTAGAGGTACAACACCTGATCCCTGAATCTCCTCAAGAAATATAATATATGATCTCTGAATTTAAGTTAGAGGTACAACAGTTGACCTCTGAATCTCCTCTGGGGGTACAATAACTGATCTCTGAATCACCTCTGGAGGTACAACAACTGATCTTTGAATCTCCTCGGGAGGTACAACAACTAATCTCTGAATCTCCTCCAGAGGTAAATTGACTAGTAAGCCCAGCCAACAGGGACCCATTGATCGTCCTTCTCCACTTTAGCAGCAATCGTCAGTAGTTCTGTGACTGCTGTGTGCAGATCATCGTTGACAATTGTGGCATCAAAAAAGTGACCATAGCGCTCCTCCATTTTGGCAGACATTTCTACAATGTCTTTCATTTCTTCAGGCTGTTAGAAATAGAATTCACACAAGATTCACTAAATGGTCAGAAGCAGAATTCACACAAGATATACTCAGTATTAAGAAACTAAAAAAAAAAAAAACACTGAATGGTTAAACACAGATTTCATACAAGAGAAACATTTTCTACAGACTGAGGCAGCCAGTCATAAGTCCGCACTCCTTGGTGGCATCTTATGACATGAATGATGGGCAACAGGACCCTTGTAAAGCAACTGGTGCATCGGGCACTGCCAGAGTAACTGTTACTTAAATCACCTAGCATATGCACAGGCTTCGTCTAAGTAGTTAACGTGCCCTTGTGGGTTATGTGTGCAGACTACAGAACATGTTCTGCAAGAATGTCTTTTGTTCAACCCATTAAGAAGGGAATACTGGCCCAGTGAGTCATCACTGCACACAAAGTTGTATGGGACTAAAAAAGAACTCATAAAAACAGTCAAGATATCACAAGAACCTGTCTGTCGGTGTAAATCAGAAGAAGAAGATAAATCATCTGGCTCTCAATGGGTGATGTGGTAAACATTATGCCAGCCACCTTTACTTCCCAGGCCATATCTTGGGACCCATTGTAGGTTGTGCTGACCTGAGAGCCCTAGGCCAATAAGAACAATCCCGGTAAGGCTAACCCCAGCATCAAATGCCTGCAAAAGTTAGATATGTCGGCCAAAAGGTGTAAATATCGCAGCCATGTTGTAAACGGGCACACGCATTTAAGAAAAAGAAATGATAAAAATAAACTGACAGTGGATTAAAACCTAAAACTTGTGGATTAGGAGCAAGCTTCTAGTCACTGTGCCACCATGGTTCCCTGTATGGTCAGTCTTGTTTTGTGTTGTGCGATTCACCAGCCATAAACTCCTGGTTGTTTATCCATTTCCCGATTTTGGCTTTCAGGACCTGAGTTTTACATGTGCATCCATTTTACAGATCTGGTTTATCAGTATGCAGACTGTTTGTTCCTTGCTTCTCAGATAGATGCCCTCTGACTTTAAAGGAAACACCCCTAATTAGTCAACTCTTAGGGTGCAGTGGATCTCCCCCCCCCCCCCCCCCCCCCCCCCATGGGACCCTGGAACCCACACAGGGAGTATAGTAAGTCAGTTAGTTCTTCTTATTCTTCATCTTGTCAATGTTGGTTGTGTGCTGATCATGTTAGGGACATGTTACTGGGATGACCACAGACAGCTGTAGACAGATGCTGACAGGTATGAATCCTGGTTCCGGTGCAGCCCTACCAAGTATGTTTCCTAACCTCTGTGGTCCTGGATTATGTTTACACAAGGGGGGGGGGGGGGGGGGGGGGGGGGTTATACATAGAAATGAAAATCCAAAGAAGTAAATAAACTGTTTAAGGTGAATGAAACTTCTTCAAGAAAACCATCAACATGGTTGCTGGATAATGAGAGATGATGCAAACAGCATGAACACACTGACAACATAGCAGTGACAACATGGGAAGTCTACTCACTGAAAGTGGTGGTGTAGCTCCCGATGATGTTGCCCTGGCGTGTTTCTCCAGGCGGGTGTACTTCATTCTCTCTAAACATGGTGCTTTGATGAAGATGATATAAGGCCTAAGTTCTGCTGTGCGAATGTACTTCAATGCCTGATGGACAAGTCAGAGACATCCAGCATTTTATGGGAGAGATAGCAGAGATTTTACAGGAAATTTAGCGAGGGTTTTACACAGAGATACGGGAGATTTAGCAAGGGTTTTACACAGAGATACAGGAGATTTAGCAAGGGTTTTACACAGAAATACAGGAGATTTAGCAAGGGTTTTACACAGAGATACAGAAGATTTACCAAGGGTTTTACACAGGATACAGAAGATTTAGCAAGGGTTTCACACAGAGATACAGAAGATTTAGTGAGGGTTTTACACAGAGATACAGGAGATTTAGCAAGGGTTTTACACAGAGATACAGGAGATTTACCAAAGGTTTTACACAGAGATACAGAAGATTTAGTGAGGGTTTTACACAGAGATACAGGAGATTTACCAAGGGTTTTACACAGAGATACAGGAGATTTACCAAGGGTTTTACACAGAGATACAGAAGATTTAGTGAGGGTTTTACACAGAGATACAGGAGATTTAGCAAGGGTTTTACACAGAGATACAGGAGATTTAGCAAGGGTTTTACACAGAGATACAGGAGATTTAGCAAGGGTTTTACATAGAGATACAGGAGATTTACCAAGGGTTTTAGCTAGGAGAACTTTTCAAGAGAGATAACAAAAGTTTGATATAGGAGACAGAGATTGTGCATGAGAGATTTTAAATTAGAGACAGCAGAAATGATAACTAATCAATGTGTAGTAGTGATGAACAGAGATGAATGAACAGATTCAGGTGACCGATAGAGCCTTGATCTCTGATCAAGATCAAATGATTTGCAGATATGAATGGACAAATGCAAGTGAAGGCTGAGAAATCATCACCAGTCAATGTAAAGTGGTGTCTGAAATGAATGGACATAGATTAATGTTGAGAAATGATCACCAGTCAATGTAAAGTGATTTGTCTGAAATGAATGGACATAGATTAATGTTGAGAAATGATCACCAGTCAATGTAAAGTGATTTGTCTGAAATGAATGGACATAGATTAATGTTGAGAAATGATCACCAGTCAATGTAAAGTGGTGTCTGAAATAAATGGACATAGATTAATGTTGAGACATGATCACCAGTCAATGTAAAGTGATTTGTCTGAAATGAATGGACACAGCTAAATGTTAAGAAATGATCACCAGTCAATGTAAAGTGATTTGTCTGAAATGAATGGACACAGATAAATATTAAGATATGATAACCAATAAATGTAAAGTGATCTGCCTGAAATGAATGGACTCAGATACATGATAAGAAACGATGGGTGGAGAAGCTGACCTGAGTGTGGGGGGCTAGCAGACACACCTTGCCCTGTTGTATCACAGATTTAATGGAGTCCAGACTGGTGCCGTAGAGGTTTCCCTTGTACTCGCCATATTCTACAAACCTGGTGGACCAGATGTCAGATCATCACAGTTAGAAGCTGGTGTCCTAGACACACATGACTAGACAGACACTCAGTGGTCAGCCACAGTTTATGGGCAGTCACACAGACTTCCGACACATGTTACTGTGTTGAGGAAACTATCACTGTCTATGCTACAGTCACAACAACCAACTCATCATCATCAACATGTAGCAGTCCATTGCTGAATGCTGCGTCCAACAGAACTGACCAGAATATATATAAGCCCTCTGCCAACTCAGGACACTCCCATAATGCTCAGTCCCCATCTTCAGAGTTCTAATTCCAATGGTAACAGTACCAGCCTGATTGTATATCCAGCACATTCTTCCCCTGAGTGTTCAGCATCAGCCAGATCCCCTGGTAACTTCTCACAGCGCCATTCTCCTGAGTGTTAAACATCAGCCAGATCCCCTGGTAACTTCTCACAGCGCCATTCTCCTGAGTGTTCAGCATCAGCCAGATCCCCTGGTCACTTCTCACAGTGCCATTCTCCTGAGTGTTCAGCATCAGCCAGATCCCCTGGTAACTTCTCACAGCGCCATTCTCCTGAGTGTTCAGCATCAGCCAGATCCCCTGGTAACTTCTCGCAGCGCCATTCTCCTGAGACCGTAATGATCTATCTGCTCCTCCACACCATGTGTTACAGGGAGGCATGAGAATCATAACTCACAGTAATGGTGAGTATTTTTCTTCTTCTTCTTCTTGTTCACCGGCTGTGAATTCCGGCGGTAAGTCACGGTTGTTCGTCCAAAATGGACTTTTGGCTTTTACCTTGACCTGAGTTTTGCGTATACATCCGTTTTACTGGCTTATTTGTTTGCAGTACTCGTTCCCCGCCTCTCCGGCAGATGTACTCCGACTTCGGAGGAAGACGTCAAGCCTATTTCTAGGTTGACTGTGGCCATTGTTTTGTGTGGGTCGAGATGTTGCCTTATTTGTGTGGTGTCCTCTTTGACTTTTAACAAGTGTGGCCCCCGGCATGTCGTCCTTAAGGCAGCTCTATGTAGAGTTTTCAGCCCTCAAGGGAAGGCAGGGGCAGATCATGGGCATTCCCCGCCATCCAAGGAGGCTTCCATAAATGCAGAGCCGACACATGATGCTGTGGTTCTGGGCTCACCCAAGGAATCGTCACGTCCTGCCCATGACTGCTTAACCTCGCAACCGTGTATTGAGCTTCCCACGCTACAAGGCTGCGCTCTACGGAGATCAGCGGGGAGCAGCCCGCAGGTCTAGGACGTTTGTGGCCACACAAATAGGTACATTCTTTTTCATCTTACGTTAGACACCTTTAACGTTGTTTTAGCTGTGCCCTTAGCACGACAGAATGGGGAAGCAAAATGCGTCAGGCTTGGCTTCACCTGTTTGGTCCCAACACTCGGGCGAGTTGGACCAGTGGATACGGACATTCAGCTTTTCCTAATCGGTACGAGTTATGATCGTCAGACTTTGAGCTTGCATGTGTGCCGTGGGGCGAAACTTTGTCGGACATTGTTTTCAAGCCAGCATGAATAGTTGCTGCCATGGTGTACCTCAGCGCGGTGACGACGACACTGAGGATTGACAGAGGATGTACGTAGGTGGGATCTTGCTGCGAGAAGTCGCCCACAAGAGATGTTACTCGTCTTGGCTGCGGGTAAATCTCTCGGTCAGGGTTGAGTCTCAGCAGCACAGTTTTCCATTCGCTCCCGTATTTTAACCAAGAGTTGTCATTTGATGGTATATTTAGCAAGCAGTCCTTGAGTTTTGTTACTTTTCACCCATGCGTTTGGGGGCGGGCTGGTGAGAGCCAGAAAGGACTCTACACCTCTAGGGGCCGCCAGCTCCGAGATCCCCTGCCAACTCTGTTAATGCTCATTTGAGACATTATCCGTGGCGCACGACGGGGACGTGCAACAGGAGTCTTGCATGAGGTTCCGTAAAACCAGAACAGTGAAGGACTGGCGCCCGAGTGGGGTACGGAATATCTCCTTATACACATCACATCAGACTTAACTTTCCCTCATGCCTGTGACTGAAATCACCGCGCCACAATGGTGAGTATGACTAGCAAGATTCACTTACAATAATATCATCTGAAGCAGTACTGTAAAGAACATGCGTTGCCCATGCAATATGATCTCTCATTTGGCCTGCCTTGTTTACTACAAAGGAAAGGTAACAGAAGATAGGTTTGAATAAAGCTGTGGGATTAGAAAGGCAATGATCTGCATTTCTATCAGACTCTCTCCTAGACCAGCTGCCAACCAAGGCTAAAGGCTCCTAGACCAGCTGCCAACCAAGGCTATAGGCTCCTAGACCAGCTGCCAACCAAGGCTAAAGGCTCCTAGACCAGCTGCCAACCAAGGCTAAAGGCTCCTAGATCAGCTGCCAACCAAGGCTAAAGGCTCCTAGACCAGCTGCCAACCAAGGCTAAAGGCTCCTAGACCAGCTGCCAACCAAGGCTAAAGGCTCCTAGACCAGCTGCCAACCAAGGCTAAAGGCTCCTAGATCAGCTGCCAACCAAGGCTAAAGGCTCCTAGATCAGCTGCCAACCAAGGCTAAAGGCTCCTAGATCAGCTGCCAAGGCTAGAGGCTCCTAGACCAGCTGCCAACCAAGGCTAGAGGCTATGATCAACTATCACACATTAAAAAACATACTTCAGAGCAAGCATACACACATTATAAATATAGATAACAAGAAGTGCAGTGAGCAATAGCAGAAACTGTGAAACATATTAATAGCATCAGAAGCAGGCAGTTGTGGAGAGCTGTGATCACCGCAGCCAGTCAGAGGAAACATTAATGCAGCCATACAGTTGCCTGAAATGATAAACGTTAAATGGAATTAATTCAAGAAAGATTAATACAATAAGAAAAAAACCTGGACAATCACATGCTGACAGTGATAAGAGAAAGAAGATGTAGACATACTGGGCACATACTGAGGCGACGTGAACAAATTATCACAAAACAGGTCCTGAAGTAGGAAACAAATTTATTGTGGAAGTAAGAATGCCTAAAGTAAACCCCACCATGAACAATAATGAGACAGGCTAGATGGCTGAAACGGATTGCATCCATGATATGGAGAGAATGGCACAGACTAGAATGGAAGAGTCTATGTGACTCACACAAAGAATCACACAAAGAAGACTAATGTTAGAGAAATATCTCACTTTTGAGCAATAATTTGATTTTCCATTTCCTCTCTGCTCAAGAAATGATATTCCTTGCCATCCTCTTCATGGGGTCGCCTCTCCCGACTCGTATCTGTTGAAGACCCACAAGCACAATTTTAGAGTGCACATCAAATGATCAACATGCATTAACATCACATCAGAACAGTTCACCAACGCTCAGATCATGTATGATGCATGAGTGTTTCTGGGATTCTATAGATGTGTTTGCATGAGTCTGAGTGCATGAATGTGTATGTACATCACATCAGAACAGTTCACCAACGCTCAGATCATGTATGATGCATGAGTGTTTCTGGGATTCTATAGATGTGTTTGCATGAGTCTGAGTGCATGAATGTGTATGTATGATTGTGGATGCATGTATGTTTGCTTTAATATGTACGAGTTCAAGTTTTACTCTATATATATGTATGTGCATATATGTATGCGTATATATGAGCATGAAAAAATGATATGTATTTGTATGAGTGTGTGAATATATATATATATATGTGTCTGTGTGTATGGGTTGTGTGCATGCATGTGTGTGTGTGTGTAAGAGTGTGTGTGTATGTTCGAGTGTGCATGCTTGTGTGCATATGATCATGGGTGTATGCACAAGGGTGTATATGGATGTGTGAGTATGTATGTATGGGAATATGTGTATAGGTATGTATGAGAGTGTATGTATGAGTATGAATGTGTGCAAGCATACATGTGTGCACAGATATGTGTGTCTGTGTATGTATGTATGTATGTATTTATGTATGCATGTGTGTTATTTATATTTCAATGCATGCCTTTACCATCCATGTGTTGGTGATTTTCTCTTTTAAACTTGATATTCATTCTGTATATCATTTTATAAACATGCCTGATTGATAACATGCAACTGTGGCCCGAAATATGAGTATTTGGAAGGGCTGAATGTAAGACAGGCCTGCGTGCCCAATTTGTGTATGGAAAAAAAAAGTGTGTTTATTCTCCTCTACACTGTTTTATAAAGATGACTGGTACAGCATCAGACCATGTGGGATGTGTATCACAAAGGTAAATATGACCTTTAACCTGTACAGGATGGTAAATACAGGGTACAGTCTGCAGCTGCCACGTGTAAACGCACGTGTGAACGTTTGACTCAAGGCACAGGATGTTTAATAATTATTAGCATGATCAGTGACTTTTCACTTATGTAGCTGCTATGGAAGAGATCAGAGCAGCTTTGGATATTTTTTTGGAGTGCTGTGATAATAGCCCTCACTAATCACATTTCTTCTACATCAATTCCAAAAGTATGTGGTGACTTGCTTTTGTTTTACTGTCTGTAAGGGAAGCAATGAGTTATAATTCATTAGCCTCTCAAGCATGTCATAAAAGGCAGCCAAGGAGAACTGGTGTGTGGCTGGTTACCAAAGCCACACGAAAGCTTGAGGTGAAAAATCCAACCATTCATGGCAAATTGACACGGGGTGGAGATGACTGAAATACAGAAGACAGAATGGTGATGATTGCTCATGCCAATCCGATGTAGTTTCTCCCACTCCCTATAGGTTCAAGGGCCCCAACAAACCAGCTGTCCCCTTAAAAAGCATCTCGTAAAAGGACTTACTGGGAGTCTGCTGAAATTTTAAGCTGCTGAAATCTAAGTGCTGGGCCGAAAGGTGTAGATACTGCAGCCTAGCTGTAAACTACAACACAATGTGCCAATGCTCTTTTAAAGGCGAAAGCAGAAGAATAAGTGTGATACTGAAAAAGTTCACCTTATGAATACAAAGAAACACAACACACAAAAATAAACAGATCACAAACTGGTAAACAAAATACTTACAAGGAACTACCTCCACAAAATGGTTTGGGTTGCTGGCTTTCAGGCGTCGCTTTAATTCATTTCGTCCGACTCCTGGTGGACCTGAGCACACAAAACGGATAAATTTTAATTTCACTAACATCTCTGGCCAGAGTGGAACAGTCCGCCTCTATACTGTAAGACATTTACTGCTGAGATGAAGCATCTATGTGTGTGTCAATGCTTAATCTCACACACAGGTGGCATTTGGGATTCAAAACTGGTGTGGAAAAAAGATTGAAGATAAAGTCAGGACATTCACAATGATAAATTCATGGTCACAGTCAGAGAACAGATATATGAAGATCCATTTCTGACTGTGAGGATGATGGCAGATGAATCTGATGTTAACAAATAGATAAATTATCCACATAAACTTGTTTCATTAATTCAGCTGACACAAAAGCACTTTTTCCTAGTTTAAAACAGAATTTAATGTTCACTCTTCGCTCCTTGCTGTATACATTATGTTGAGCTCTCTTTAATTGTTAATTTCATTTATTAGTCAGTAACAATTACAGTATTAAGTACATACCAATAAAGATAAGGGGGCGGAATACTCTTAATGGCTGCTTTGGACGGTAAAGTTCAACCTCTTCATAAGTAGGTATTTCATCTGTGTCAAAGTCTGAAAAAACTGAAAAGATCAATATATTTCATTTGGGGTATCAAAAAGTTTCAAATATAACCCCCAACAATTCAATTTTTGGTTCTAATCACAGAATTAACCTCATCTAGCTCAGGCCCAAGACTTTGTGGCTGTTCCCACAGGCTGCCTTATGTTCTAGAGATGTTTTGAGATGCCTTCCTTTCCCATCTATACACACCGTGGTGAAAATTGGCTTGCGCTCATTCAACACACTCTTGCAAATGAAACTAAGCAAATTTCTTGCCACAACTGTCTTTTCTGCGAACAACTCTTGTTTCTCAAATGTACTGTTGTTGTGAGTGGCTCAGGTGCCACAGGTGCCTGCGTACAAGGAAGAAGTACTTCAGGGAGAGGCACTGAAAGTGCGACAGTTCATCAGAATCGAATCATTGTTGGTTTTGTATTTCTATGCTTGTTGGCAGTGGCTGCCATCGGTGGTGGATGTGTTTAAAACATTCAAAACAAGCAACACCTGACACTTCCCTCCACCTTCCCACAGAACATAAGACAGCCAACGAGATGGGGTGAGATTCATGAGTGGTAACTAAAACATTTTTTCTCTGGACTGTCACTGCCATCATCAAGTGCCTTGAAATACGGACTGAGTGATAACCCCCCCTCCCCTTTTCCCCCTCCCCCCTTACTATGACAAAATGCTGTTAAGAATCTTCTTATGTTGTCTTCCTCTGCCTCCACAGGTCCTTCCAGTGGTCACATGTTCCACAACATGGCCGTCCGGTGTTTGTCATAATCTGACTTCAGACCTTCGCCTCTTTTAAAACATTCACCTTATTCATATGTTTTGGTCATTACTTGACTACTATAACTGTTATAGATAAGCGTCTTCTTTCTTCTGTTGCCATCTCATTGATACCAGGATGTAGCCCAGTGTCATGGTTTTCTGTTTTTGTCTTACGCTTCTCGGATGATGGATTGTTCATCTGTTTCTATGTTTCAGCTTCACAGGTTATCCATCTATTTCTGTCTTCCTCTTGCCTTCCTCTCAGATATTCTGCTATAAACAAGTCTAATTTCAGCGAACCCCTATGTAGTCGCCTTTTATGATATGCTTGTTATTCTTTACCCATCCAAAATGGGTGCTTTGGAGTGCACACAGAAAGTCCTACTGGATGACATCCAGGATGTGACATTTCAGGTCACTGGGGTGTGAAACCTTTTTGTAGCAGCACAAAGATCAGTCACAGTGATGGCAACAGTTTAACAGATACTGCTGTAGAGTGGAGATCAGTCACAGTGATGGCAACAGTATAACAGATACTGCTGTAGAGTGGAGATAAGTCACAGTGATGGCAACAGTTTAACAGATACTGCTGTAGAGTGGAGATCAGTCACAGTGATGGCAACAGTATAACAGATACTGCTGTAGAGTGGAGATCAGTCACAGTGATGGCAACAGTATAACAGATACTGCTGTAGAGTGGAGATAAGTCACAGTGATGGCAACAGTTTAACAGATACTGCTGTAGAGTGGAGATAAGTCACAGTGATGGCAACAGTTTAACAGATACTGCTGTAGAGTGGAGATCAGTCACAGTGATGGCAACAGTTTAACAGATACTGCTGTAGAGTGGAGATCAGTCACAGTGATGGCAAAAGTTTAACAGATACTGCTGTAGAGTGGAGATCAGTCACAGTGATGGCAAAAGTTTAACAGATACTGCTGTAGAGTGGAGATCAGTCACAGTGATGGCAACAGTATAACAGATACTGCTGTAGAGTGGAGATCAGTCACAGTGATGGCAAAAGTTTAACAGATACTGCTGTAGAGTGGAGATCAGTCACAGTGATGGCAACAGTATAACAGATACTGCTGTAGAGTGGAGATCAGTCACAGTGATGGCAACAGTATAACAGATACTGCTGTAGAGTGGAGATCAGTCACAGTGATGGCAACAGTATAACAGATACTGCTGTAGAGTGGAGATCAGTCACAATGATGGCAACAGTTTAACAGATACTGCTGTAGAGTGGAGATCAGTCACAGTGATGGCAACAGTTTAACAGATACTGCTGTAGAGTGGAGATCAGTCACAGTGATGGCAACAGTATAACAGATACTGCTGTAGAGTGGAGATCAGTAACAGTGATGGCAACAGTATAACAGATACTGCTGTAGAGTGGAGATAAGTCACAGTGATGGCAACAGTTTAACAGATACTGCTGTAGAGTGGAGATCAGTCACAGTGATGGCAACAGTTTAACAGATACTGCTGTAGAGTGGAGATAAGTCACAGTGATGGCAACAGTTTAACAGATACTGCTGTAGAGTGGAGATAAGTCACAGTGATGGCAACAGTATAACAGATACTGCTGTAGAGTGGAGATCAGTCACAGTGATGGCAACAGTATAACAGATACTGCTGTAGAGTGGAGATCAGTCACTGTGATGGCAACAGTATAACAGATACTTCTGTATAGTGGAGATCAGTCACTGTGATAGCAACAGTATAACAGATACTGCTGTAGAGGAAGAGACCATTCCAAAGGAAATAATGCTATACACGATAGATCAGTTGTACATCAAATACCGTTAAAGGTTAAAGTTCAACAAGACAGATTAGTTGTACATCAAATACTGTTAAAGGTTAAAGTTCTACAAGACAGATCAGTTGTACATCAAATACTGTTAAAGGTTAAAGTTTTACAAGACAGATCAGTTGTACATCAAACACTGTTAAAGGTTAAAGTTCTACAAGACAGATTAGTTGTACATCAAATACTGTTAAAGGTTAAAGTTCTACAAGACAGATCAGTTGTACATCAAACACTGTTACAGTTTAAAGTTCTACAAGGCCTATCAGTTGTACATCAAACACTGCTAAGAAAATAGTAATTCTATAGCTGACAGTGGTGAAAGGAGAAGATTAGTTTTAAAGCAGACAGAGTTATAACATTAAAATGAATAGCCATTCAACAATAAGCACAATTATATGTGTGTATGTAGGCTTTAATAAGAGCTTGTTTGAAAGTGCCTGTACCACATGCGGATAAGATACACTAAGCGTGGAGCTGACAATGATGATGATGTAGAAGAATAAGAAAATAAAGATGATGAATGAGGAGGATGGAGAGAATAAAAAGAAGAAAAAAACAATCAAGCAGGAAACAGAAAACACTGGAACATACCCCCACTCTGGACAATATGATACATGGTCTTCCTCAGTCGTTTCTGCTTGGGAATCTTGGGGCTGTATCTGCAGGGGCTGATAGATCCTGTCAGAGAGGACAGAAACATCTCAAGTAGCTATCCATGAATACAGGACAGAAACATCTCAAGTAGCTATCCATGAATACAGGACAGAAACATCTCAAGTAGCTATCCATGAATACAGGACAGAAACATCTCAAGCAGCTATCCATGAATACAGGACAGAAACATCTCAAGTAGCTATCCATGAATACAGGACAGAAACATCTCAAGTAGCTATCCATGAATACAGGACAGAAACATCTCAAGTAGCTGTCCATGAATACATCTTCTGACCTTGTTCTGAATTGATGTATGGCATTACAGCCAGTGACATCCCAGGTACATATCTTACTGAGCAGCAAGCATGCTAATTAATATCTAGACTATTACTCCATCACCTGTCTATACATAATTGAACAAATAAATATTATTCTTGCCATTAAATTGATAGGATATACCAAGTATATCCGACAAGTAGGTCCGACAATTAAGTAATGAGACACATTCCATAAAAATTAAAATAACAGTTGAAGATATAACCTGTATATTATACAAAGTAAGCCCCTTGTGCATCGATACAGCAAGTGGCAAGATCTAACAAACAAAGGAATGACCTCTGTAGTTCTTCTGTTGTTATGGCCCTTTGGACGTCATCAATATCGTCAAAGAAGCGTCCTTTCAATGGAAATTTTAATTTTGAGAACAGAAAATAGTCACAGGGAGACTAATCTGGGGAATAGAGTGGATGGTTGAGAACACAAACTGGCTTTTGAGCCAAAAATACATGTACAACTACCAACCGGTGAGCCGTTGCATTGTCATGAAGAAGGAAAAAACTGCCAGGTGTTGAATATTTGGGTTAGACTTTGACAATCCTTTTCAATAGATGTTTCAAAATACTTAAATATACTGTGGTTGTGACAGTCTGTCCCCTCTAGAATAAATTCTTTGTGGATAACTCCTTTGCTGTCATAGAAGCACACCAACATTGTTTACACTTTCCACTTTTGAAGACTGATTTGTTTGTCTTTTGCTGATGATGATGACTTCCACTGAGCATTTTGGCAATAAGTTTTGGGATCATAGTAGAAAATCTATGTTTGATCCTCTGCAAGAACCAAATTTAAGAAATCTTAATTTCTGTGAGAAGTTTTGATGATGTCTCTTGCGTACTCAACACGCTGATGTTTATGGCAAGCAACTTTTTTCTTGCTCAAATTTTCCATAAAAATTTTACGAATGGTGTCTCTATTATTAATATCAAATTAATCCACCATGATCGTCACATTAAAACTATGATCTTCTTATATCCGTTCTCTGACTTTTGCGATTAGTTTCTCATTAGGAACAGAAACTGGGCGTCTGGGCCTAGTTGCATTAGTAATCATTTCTATATCACTTTTGAATCGTGAATACTACCTGAAAATCTGTGCACGAGATGAATTGATGCGACAAGTTTGTGGGGATAACTGTCTCAATGGTGCTTTTTCTGAGTTTAAACATTATTGTTAGCTTTTTGCTCCATGCTGATTTCGTAACAATGCACATCTAACTAGGCTTGTATGACGTCTGTTTGTCAGGCAGCAATGCAAAGTTGCTAGATCATAAATGAAGGTTGCCTCTTTGGATTCTATGCTTTGCTTCATATATGACATTTTTGTCTTGACATAATAAAATCAGTCTCATTACTTAATTGTCGGACCTTGCATATTTTATTCTTGACATTAAATTGACAGAAACTTGCAAACTGCCACAGAAGAATGAATGGTACCACTTACCCGGGACAAGAAAATCTAATAAAAAAATCAATGTTACATAATAAAATACTAACAAAAACACACAATATACTAAAGTTACTGTCTTAAAGAATACAGCCACACAAACATATAAGCAATGATGATGTGGTGACACAACATAATTAATTTAAAAAAAAAAAACTCACGTAACACAACAGAAACAAAAAATGGAACAACATTACTGACAGAAGGATTAATGATCGAGTCACAGGAATACTGAAGCATACCTCACACAGAAGAAAACAACTGTAACTTCTGTCTGTTTTAACACTTTTTGTGCCTGGCAGGTACTGTGGCCACAGACTGTGCCTGGCAGGTACTGTGGCCACGGACTGTGAATGGCTAGTACTGTCACCACGGAGTGTTCCTGGCTGGTACTGTTGCCATGGACTGTGCCTGGCTGGTACTGTCATCATGGACTGTGCCTGGCTAGTACTGTCACCATGGACTGTGCCTGGCTAGTACTGTCACCACGGAGTGTTCCTGGCTGGTACTGTTGCCATGGACTGTGCCTGGCTGGTACTGTCATCATGGACTGTGCCTGGCTAGTACTGTCGCCATGGACTGTGCCTGGCTGGTACTGTCACCATGGACTGTGCCTGGCTGGTACTGTCGCCACAGACTGTGCCTGGCTGGTTCTGTCGCCACAGACTGTGCCTGGCTGGTACTGTCGCCACGGACTGTGCCTGGCTGGTACTGTCACCATGGACTGTGCCTGGCTGGTTCTGTCGCCACAGACTGTGCCTGGCTGGTTCTGTCACCACAGACTGTGCCTGGCTGGTACTGTCACCATGGACTGTGCCTGGCTAGTACTGTCACCATGGACTGTGCCTGGCTAGTACTGTCACCATGGACTGTGCCTGGCTGGTACTGTGGCCACGGACTGTGCCTGGCTGGTACTGTGGCCATGGACTGTTCCTGGCTGGTACTGTCACCATGGACTGTGCCTGGCTGGTACTGTGGCCACGGACTGTGCCTGGCTGGTACTGTGGCCACGGACTGTGCCTGGCTGGTACTGTGGCCATGGACTGTGCCTGGCTAGTACTGTTGCCATGGACTGTGCCTGGCTGGTACTGTGGCCATGGACTGTTCCTGGCTGGTACTGTCACCATGGACTGTTCCTGGCTGGTACTGTTGCCATGGACTGTGCCTGGCTGGTACTGTCACCATGGACTGTGCCTGGCTAGTACTGTCACCATGGAATGTGTCTGGCTAGTACTGTCACCATGGACTGTGCCTGGCTGGTACTGTCGCCACAGACTGTGCCTGGCTGGTTCTGTCACCACAGACTGTGCCTGGCTGGTACTGTTGCCATGGACTGTGCCTGGCTGGTACTGTCGCCACGGACTGTGCCTGGCTGGTACTGTCACCTTGGACTGTGCCTGGCTGGTTCTGTCGCCACAGGCTGTGCCTGGCTGGTACCGTCGCCACGGACTGTGCCTGGCTGGTACTGTCACCATGGATTGTGCCTGGCTGGTTCTGTCGCCACAGACTGTGCCTGGCTGGTTCTGTCGACACAGACTGTGCCTGGCTGGTTCTGTCACCACAGACTGTGCCTGGCTGGTACTGTCACCATGGACTGTGCCTGGCTAGTACTGTCACCATGGACTGTGCCTGGCTAGTACTGTCACCATGGACTGTGCCTGGCTGGTACTGTGGCCACGGACTGTGCCTGGCTGGTACTTTGGCCATGGACTGTTCCTGGCTGGTACTGTCACCATGGACTGTGCCTGGCTGGTACTGTCACCATGGATTGTGCCTGGCTGGTTCTGTCGCCACAGACTGTGCCTGGCTGGTTCTGTCGACACAGACTGTGCCTGGCTGGTTCTGTCACCACAGACTGTGCCTGGCTGGTACTGTCACCATGGACTGTGCCTGGCTAGTACTGTCACCATGGACTGTGCCTGGCTAGTACTGTCACCATGGACTGTGCCTGGCTGGTACTGTGGCCACGGACTGTGCCTGGCTGGTACTTTGGCCATGGACTGTTCCTGGCTGGTACTGTCACCATGGACTGTGCCTGGCTGGTACTGTGGCCACGGACTGTGCCTGGCTGGCACTGTGGCCACGGACTGTGCCTGGCTGGTACTGTGGCCATGGACTGTGCCTGGCTAGTACTGTCACCATGGACTGTGCCTGGCTGGTACTGTTGCCATGGACTGTGCCTGGCTGGTACTGTTGCCATGGACTGTGCCTGGCTAGTACTGTCACCATGGACTGTGCCTGGCTAGTACTGTTACCATGGACTGTGCCTGGCTGGTACTGTTGCCATGGACTGTGCCTGGCTAGTACTGTTGCCATGGACTGTGCCTGGCTGGTACTGTTGCCATGAACTGTGCCTGGCTAGTACTGTTGCCACGGACTGTGCCTGGCTGGTACTGTTGCCACAGACTGTGCCTGGCTGGTACTGTGGCCATGGACTGTGCCTGGCTGGTACTGTCACCATGGACTGTGCCTGGCTGGTACTGTTGCCATGGACTGTGCCTGGCTGGTACTGTTGCCATGGACTGTGCCTGGCTGGTACTGTGGCCATGGACTGTGCCTTGCTGGTACTGTCACCATGGACTGTGCCTGGCTGGTACAGTTGCCATGGACTGTGCCTGGCTGGTACTGTCGCCATGGACTGTGCCTGGCTGGTACTGTTGCCATGGACTATGCCTGGCTAGTACTGTCACCATGGACTGTGCCTGGCTAGTACTGTTGCCATGGACTGTGCCTGGCTGGTTCTGTGGCCACGGACTGTGCCTGGCTGGTACTGTTGCCATGAACTGTGCCTGGCTGGTTCTGTTGCCATGGACTGTGCCTGGCTGGTACTGTTGCCATGGACTGTGCCTGGCTGGTACTGTCACCACAGACTGTGCCTGGCTAGTACTGTCACCATGGACTGTGCCTGGCTAGTACTGTCACCATGGACTGTGCCTGGCTAGTACTGTTGCCATGGACTGTGCCTGGCTAGTACTGTCACCATGGACTGTGCCTGGCTGGTACCGTCACCATAGACTGTGCCTGGCTGGTTCTGTCGCCACAGACTGTGCCTGGCTAGTACTGTCGCCATGGACTGTGCAGGTTAGGAGGTTTAAGTCTGCCCCGACCAAAAAAAACTCAACCACCTTACTGGGGGTCAAACTCGGGTCTCCTGCATCAGAGCCCGAGGCTGTAACTGCTCGGCCAGCCGCTCGTCTGAAGAAAACAACAAATCAAGCAAAACACCAAATGTGTCTTCTAGAACTTACTGGGTGGATTCCTGGCTTCCCTGAGTCGCACCCTTCTCATGACCTCCAGACTGTATGGGAAAGATTACAGTCTGAATAATGAGAAAATTTAAAAGCCACAGTTCTGATTTATTTCCACATTTCATGTAACATATGTTACGTTATGTTTTACATGTAACATTACATGTGAGGTTATGTTTTCACCTGTAACATTATATGTGATGTTTTAATTCAAGCTTCAGTTGTGTCTAAGCTTCTTGTGACTTGTTATAAATATTTTGGCAGTCTCTGTGATGCAGTAATTAAGACATTTACCATGCACTCTGAAGGTCTTATGTTTTATTCTGGGAGCAGTCCTTTGGTTCTTGCATGCAAGTGTATTGGACAACATTGCTGGTTGTGTCTGGAGCTACGGAGCTCTTCCATATAACCAGCATTTACCTGTAGTTCTCCCTGTGTTGTAGCAACCTGACACTTGCCTGTGGGTCTGAAAGTCATAGGTTCAAATCTGTATGGAGTTGGATTTTACTCAAACATGACCTTAGCTCCCTTGAACTTGAACTTTGTAGAAAACAAAAATAACAAAACTCCTTGACTCTTTCAGTCTGCTCCGGGTTGAGCGGTGACTATATCGAGTCCGTGTGTATTGGTTGACTCTTGGTCGTTTTGTTTTTTGGAGGCGTTTGGTTGCGCCTTGAGTTCCGATTTTCATGCTTGGGCCTTTCCTTTCGGTTGGTGTGAAGTAGGCTGTATTGGGAGGGGAAAACTAAAAGTCCTGAGAAGGACAATTAGGGAGTGCCGGGCGCTGCCTGGTACGGGGATAGGTGGGAGAGTATCTGGCTGTCGAGCAGTCTTGCCTGGCTGGTTTGCGCAGGTTGTCCGGTGAGCTGGATTTGGAAAGTGTCATGGCGGCTAGGTCGGTTCTGGTTGGTTGCTGGCTTTGACATCTCGGGCGGGCTGGTTCACCTGTTGGGTCCTGTTGGCTTCTGGATGGGTCAGTGCGGGAAATTACTTTGTTGGTGATGGCGTGCTTAGTTCCCTTCGAGCAGCGTTAAGTTTAGTATAGGCCACGCTTGCGTCATACATCATCATTTTGTTTCTGTTTCGTTTGGATATGAGTGTTGCGGCTGGGAGGGATCGCTCCCTTGCAATTTCTTTCTGGCAGAACTGTATTCTGAATGTGTTATTGAACATCTCGAGTCGGTGAGGGTGCATCTGCTGGTTATAATTTGTGATCCGTGCTTGTAGGCTGGCTTCTCTGTCCTCTATCTCCTTGCGTGCTACCGCTTCTTTGTCTTCTTCGTAGGTTGTGACCTCATCTGCGGCTGGGGTTGTTTCCGTATTGCTGCTCCGGTCCGTGGTTTGTACTGATTCCGAGGGCTGTTCATCTACGCCTTCCTTGTCGGATTCTGCTTCCTGTTCCTCTTCTTCATCTCCTTGAGAATAGTCCGGTTCGGAGTCTGGTTCAGTATCTTGTTCTTCCACCTCTGTTGGGTCTTGCTGGGCTTCAATGAGTTTTTTTTATCTCGCTCACTGCTTCTTTCATGACTTCTTGTATGCTTGTCTCCTGTTCCGCCTTCTTTCTCTGCCGGGTTTTCTCCATATTGACTGCTATCATTGCAGCGTCTGCTTCAGCTTTCACCTCTAGCAGCCGAGTGATTTTTTGGTACCTAGTTTCGCGGGCTTCTTTAAGAGCGGCCATCTCTCTCTGGTGTTCTTCTCGTTCTGCTTGACGACGAGCTGCATCCTGGACTTGGGCTGTTTTTAGCTGCTCTAATAGGTCTTGCATTTTTATAGTCGCTTCCGTTATGTCGGCCAGTAGCCTGTGGGCCGCTTCTGCTTGCTTGTCTGTTCTCTGTGCTTTTAGTTCGTCCAATGTTTGGGAGATGAGGCCTAGCATCTTAATTTTGTCCGAGGTAGCTTTATCTCTGTTTACTTTCTGCCTGTTGATCGTGCAGATTTCGTTCCGGATTTCGGACAGTTGCTGCGCTATTTCGCCGTCTTTAGCAGCTGGGCTAGCTCTGTGGTTTGGTCTCGCTGTGCTTGGCTGAGTGGTACCTATCAGGTGTCTACCGAAAGCTATGTCCCTTCGGAGTTGGCAAGGCTTGTTAAGTGTTCTGAAAAGGACACCAAGCGTGCTTTCTCCTCAGTTCTCTAGACATTCGTTCTACAAATTATAAATGGCTGGGTCTTCAACAGTGGTGTGTTCACGGGCTGCTAATAACCCAAACGCAGACGACACCGATAGCGTAGTCGAGACAAACTCAGCCAAATATCAAGCGAGTATTGTTCAGTATCTAGCTATCGATAATCAGTCTACGATTGGATAGTTAGCGGGCGAACGAGAGACACCTTCAATCCTGTGTCACCTACAGGCAAGAGACAAGTAGAAACACCTACAGGCAGCAGACAAGTAGAAACACCTACAGGCAACAGACAAGTAGAAACACCTACAGGCAACAGACAAGCAGAAACACCTACAGGTAGCACACAAGTAGAAACACCTACAGGCAACAGACAAGTAGAAACACCTACAGGCAACAGACAAGCAGAAACACCTACAGGTAACAGACAAGTAGAAACACCTACAGGCAGCAGACAAGTAGAAATACCTACAGACAACAGACAAGCAGAAACACCTACAAGCAGAAACACCTACAGGCAGGCAGCAGAAACACCTACAGGCAGGCAGCAGAAACACCTACAGGCAGGCAGCAGAAACACCTACAGGCAGGCAGCAGAAAGCAGAAACACCTACAAGCAGGCAGCAGAAACATCTACAGGCAGGCAGCAGAAACACCTACAGGCAGGCAGCATAAACACCTACAGGTAGGCAGCAGAAACACCTACAGCCAGGCAGCAGACAAGCAGAAACATCTACAGACAGGCAGCAGAAACACCTACAGGCAGCAGACAAGCAGAAACATCTACAGGCAGGCAGCAGAAACACCTACAGGCAGCAGAAAGCAGAAACACCTACAAACAGGCAGCAGAAACACCAACAGGCAGGCAGCAGAAAGCAGAAACACCTACAGGTAGGCAGCAGAAACATCTACAGGCAGCAGACAAGCAGAAACACCTACAGGAAGGCAGCAGACAAGTAGAAACACCTACAGGCAGGCAGCAGACAAGCAGAAACACCTACAGGCAACAAGTAGAAACACCTACAGGAAGGCAGCAGATAAGTAGAAACACCTACAGGCAGCAGACAAGCAGAAACACCTACAGGAAGCAGACAAGCAGAAACACCTACAGGCAGCAGAAACACCTACAGACAGGCAGCAGAAACACCTACAGGCAGCAGAAACACCTACAGACAGGCAGCAGAAATACCTACAGGCAGCAGACAAGCAGAAACACCTACAGACAGGCAGCAAAAACACTTACAGGCAGCAGAAACACCTACAGACATGCATCAGAAACACCTACAGGCAGCAGACAAGCAGAAACACCTACAGGCAGCAGAAACACATACAGGCAGCAGACAAGCAGAAACACCTACAGGCAGCAGACAAGCAGAAAAACCTACAGGCAGCAGACAAGCAGAAACACCTACAGGCAGGCAGCAGAAACACCTACAGGCAGGCAGCAGACAAGCAGAAACACCTACAGGCAGGCAGCAGAAAGACCTACAGACAGGCAGCAGAAACACCTACAGGCAACAGACAAGCAGAAACACCTACAGGCAGGCAGCAGAAACACCTACAGGCAGGCAGCAGAAATACCTACAGGCAGGCAGCAGAAACACCTACAGGCAGGCAGCAGACAAGCAGAAACACCTACAGACAGGCAGCAGACAAGTAGAAACAACTACAGGCAGGCAGCAGAAACACCTACAGGCAGCAGAAACACCTACAGACAGGCAGCAGAAACACCTACAGGCAGCAGACAAGCAGAAACACCTACAGGCAGCAGACAAGCAGAAACACCTACAGGCAGGCAGCAGATAAGTAGAAACACCTACAGGCAGCAGACAAGTTGAAACACCTACAGGCAGGCAGCAGACAAGCAGAAACACCTACAGACAGGCAGCAGACAAGTAGAAACGACTACAGGCAGGCATCAGAAACCTAGTTTAGGCACAATTTTGGGTTGAATCATTTGCTGTGAAGTTGTAACTGTGATTACTTGATTAACATAAATGTGGTTTTCCCAGAGGAATGCAAAGAATATCTTGTATACACAAGCCTAGTGTTACAACTTTCACCACACATCAACCCTGTGTTCATTACAATGTACTAATTCTTGTGTTACACCAGTGACCTTTAACCAGTCCTCGGTGTTACACTTACTATCACACCTCAACCCTGCATTAATTTAATTACCGTTTTCCAGCCTAGTGTTTCCTTTATTACCACACATTTCAATAAGTACTGGACCTCATCCACTACCATCTTCCTGTCACGTGTATTCAGGACTTTTTCTAGAAAAAAAGTGCAATTACTCATCACAAGGTATCCACACACACACAAAAAAGCTGCTGCTTTTCACAATAAAGTGTCCATTACAATGCTGGAAAAATAAATAATGCCTAAGAATGTGCCAGTACTACATATCAATGCATACTGCCAGGAAACACACACAAAAAACTTTTTGTAATGATCAAGGACTCAGGGACTCAGGAAGTAGAAATGTCCTATCTCTCTAGGGAAGACAAGTAGACTCAAGAAGCAGAAATGTTCTAAGACTCTTGATAATGCTTGCTAGGAATAATGATGGGAAGACATTCACCAAGCAGACTGGTCTCACCTCTCCTGGTAATGCTTGCTAGGGATGATCTTTGCACTAATGGGAGTGCCGGCGCTACCTGGAGCAGTTTCTGCAACATCACTGATATGACGAGCCTGCCACCATGTAGGATCATCATCACTGACAATCTCCAGGATATCACCCATCTGTAGACGCACAATTGGAAGCAACAGTTCAGTCATATTACTCTGCTGACTGGCAGGACATTTGAAACACCTACCCAGTCAAGGATGTCTAAATTTTCTATTAGAAAATTAAAAACAAAAGTAAAATCAAGATCACATATATCCCTGTATACTGAGAGGGGATACAGCATAATGACTGCTTATCACAGTCATGAGAAATAGGCAGTCATCACTTATTTTTAATGACAACAGAAAAATTTGAAAGATTTATGGGAACAGAAGTAGAGGAAGGCAGCAAGAGAAGATTTTCTGATAGCATTTTGCCATAGCATGAGACATCCAGGGTATTCAACAACTGTATCTACACCGGCATTGTCCCTGATGACTGGCTTCACAGTAACCTCAGGCCTCTGAGGGAAAGATCATGCAAGAAAAAATGCTCAAGGATTATTTGGTTGTAGAGCATCATAGGAAAAAGAGTTCACTGACTTGGCTTTCCCTAACAATCAGACTGTCAGTACACTTCTGCCAGGCATAAGCCAGCTCATCACACAAACATCACATAGACAATGTCACAATGTCATTCATGTGGCCAGGAAAGGTCTGACAGCACTCAGGGTGATTACAACAGCTGATTTTAAAAAACATTGACATGTCCGTCCCTATCAGGACCTGGTGTCAAGTATCATAGACTAGTCTGGGGCTCCTTCCTGTCAGCTGAACCTAGCTAGAAAGACGGGAACAATTATGTCATGAGGCTATGAGATATGGCTGCATACAAGACACCTGGTGTCTGCTGTGTGGTATTTCCTGGGGTTTACCGACAGGGGCTACTAGACACATTCACAGAAGGCACACATGAAACTATCAGGAGACATCAACAGCACACAAATATGTCATTTGTAAACAGGGCATGGGAAAGGGGCAGCTTGAAAACAGGTAACTCCTGGATAGCCAGGAAACATAATCCAGCTGGTATGCGATCTGTTCAAGCTCAGACATGGACAAGAATGGATGGATATACCGGCTGAGATGCAAAAAATACTCTAAGGCTGACATCACACTGGGGAGGTATTGCCTAAACTAGAAACCTGCCACTGTAGACACTGAAATAATGGCATTGACAGATCAACACTCATGGCCAGCATGATCTACACACTAGGTCCATGAAACACCAGTTCATGTCAGCACAGGTACACACGGTTCTTCTTCTTCGTTCGCCGGCTGTGAATTCCGGCAGAAGGTCCCGGTAGTTCATCCATTTGGACTTTTGGCTTTTACCTGGACCTGAGTTTTGCATGTTCATCTGTTTTACTGGCTTCTTGGTTTGTTGTTTCCTGCCTCACTGGCAAATGTACTCCGACTTCGAGGGAATACATGGCTCAAATGAGGAAGAAAATAATAAAAGAGGATAGTGGTGTATAATAGGCATCCAGCATGACCATGGAGATGACAGCTGCTTCCAGAGCACTCACATGAACAGCAGAACAAGGATCTGTGCAAGCAGTGATTATATCAGACTCTATGAACAGCTTCAGAAAACAGGCAGCCTGCGCTCTGAATGGGTTGATAGCGTCCAGGAGTTACACTTAACCTCTGTCACCTGGATCTTCATGCCCGGGCATGCTGGAGTACAAGGTAGTGAACAAGTAGACCAACTGACAAGCATTGCAACACTGCAGGCAGGAATATAGATGGACAGAGAAGAAATCATCTAAGCTATACAGTCTAGACAGGAAGATAGTATTAAACCTCTGATATTGACACGACTACATGAACTCAGAATGAAGCCTGGCAAAGCGTTATGGTGCCGTTTTCAAGGTCAAAGTTAGAGGAATTTAACCAACTTCACATGGGAACAATAAGTAAAGGTCTCCTGGGATGGCTGCTGCATCCGAGGACTGAGCACACATGGGAATGTGGTTTACAGCCAGGCTGCGATATCTGTGCCTTTCACCAGTACATATCCTGTACAGCTGAAACTGCTACTTCCCTTTGTGCCAATTTAAATATTCTCTAGACAAATCAGGAAAACTTTCCAACGATGAGCAGGACTTCATAACAGTGCTAGCAAGAAACTGCCCAGATTTCGGTAACTGAACTTACTACCTGTCATTACTGTTTTAAAGGTTGGCAATATAAAATTAAAATACAATAATTAACCAGAAAAAAATCACGAACTTTGAAAGCAAGTCCCGCCTCCCTGCAGGGTATGTGCTCATCTGTTTCTGGGTCAAATGAAAACAAACAACGCACTTTCATCTGTTGAAAGACAAATTTCATAATTTAGATTATGTTGATCTCATACCTCCATAAATGATTAACAACTATAAACAGTGATGATAAGTATTAACAGTTGTAGTTGTTGAGTTGAGTCAAGAATTGACATCACAGCACTCGGGGCATTCCCATGCATGCTCCATCCTCATCTTCAGCAGCCAGCGCAAAGTTCCAACACTGATGGTACCAGTCACAATCTGGTTATATTTACGTCTTGTCTTTCCTCTGAGTGTAGTGAGCCGGCCAGACCCTCTGGTTACACCCAGGTGGCTCATTCTCTCCAGGCCATAATAATCTTCTATCTCTACTGATTCTGTTGCTTGTTCATAAAGGGCCTTGACCACATCTGCCTTGTCATGTATCAATTCACCACCCAGTGGTGCAGATCTAGTCAGTCTGTCTGCCTCTTTATTACCCCCCAAGCCGGCGTGGCCTGGAGAAAAGATCCAAAGTTAGGCTAACAAAGTGTGTTATTTTTTTTTCTATGACCGACCTTAGGCAGATGCCAAATGGCTGTTACATGTGTTTCATATATGTTATCTTGTATTTTTTGTTGTCACTGAGTAACATTAATAAGTGATTGTACCTTCACTTGTGATTCACTTATAAGTGGTGTTCTCTCCGGAATAGATTTAACAAATTCTTCATGTGATTCTGTTTAGATATATGTTCAATGCGTTGTGTTTGCGTGGAGTAGCATTTCAAAGGTAAGAAGGAATAACATTTATTGTTAAAATACTACACTATGTCCACTACACTATGTCCTATGATCTCTGTGTTTGCTAGTACAGTATACCTTGTAATAAATCTGATATAAACATTTTATAAATTATTAAATATTACAAATTCAAAATAGGCTACCATTTGCAAAATATTGTGAATATACTGGGTGGACAAGGATAATTAATTGTGAATATACTGGGTGGACAAGGATAATTAATTGTGAATATACTGGGTGGACAAGGATAATTAATTGTGAATATACTGTGTGGACAAGGATAATTAATTGTGAATATACTGGGTGGACAAGGATAATTAATTGTGAATATACTGGGTGGACAAGGATAATTAATTGTGAATATACTGGGTGAACAAGGATAATTAATTGTGAATATACTGGGTGGACAAGGATAATTAATTGTGAATATACTGGGTGGACAAGGATAATTAATTGTGAATATACTGGGTGGACAAGGATAATTAATTGTGAATATACTAGGTGGACAAGGATAATTAATTGTGAATATACTGGGTGGACAAGGATAATTAATTGTGAATATACTGGGTGGACAAGGATAATTAATTGTGAATATACTGGGTGGACAAGGATAATTAATTGTGAATATACTGGGTGGACAAGGATAATTAATTGTGAATATACTGGGTGGACAAGGATAATTAATTGTGAATATACTGGGTGGACAAGAAGAATACTGTGGATATCTTGGGTGGACACGGATAAAATTGCAAATACACTGGATGGACAAGGATTATGTTGCAAATATACTTAAACGAACGAACGAACGAACTTTATTTTCAAAGGGTTACAAATTAGGCACGCAGGCCTGTCTTACATTCGGCCCTTCCAAACTTCCATCTTTCACACAGCAGTTGTATTTCATCAATTAAGCATGTTATATTCATGTAATAATATGCATATTATATATATGAAGTCAAAAACAAAAGCATGGCTGGTAAAATATGTACGCATGCTCACGCGCGAACACACACACACACATACACACACAAGCCCAATGACTCACTTACACACAAAAATATAGGCACTAAGTACACACATACATCCACATGCATACATACATACTCACATACATACAAACTCACATACTCACATACACACATACATACATACATACATACATACATACATACATACATACATACATACATACAAACAAACAAACAAGCATGCATGCATGCATGCATGCATGCATGCATGTACATACATACATACATACATACATACATACATACATACATACATACATACATACATACATACATACATACATACATACATACATACATACATACATACATACATACATACATACATACATACATACATACATACATACATACATACATACATACATACATACATACATACACTCATACACACGCTCTAAAACACACACGCATACAATCCAGACACATTCAGACACACACACATGCAGTCACGGGCACACATACGGGGACACATACACACACGCAGGCAGGGAAACAGACACACATTGACATACGCAACACCCACACATACAAAGATATACACACACAGACACGCACAGTCAGACATACGCACACAGAGGCATAACCCGACACAAGCAGAGACATGCAGACATAATAATAAATACACCGAAAGAGACTCACACAGATACACACAAAGCCACGCACAGCCACAGACAGACACATATACACATGCAGCCATACACACCTACAGACACAAAATGGCACATACACACACTGACACACAGAGACGGACACAAACACATACTAACACACCCACAGACGCACAAATACTCGCACAGACACACACATGCAGACGCACACACACACACATTATCAAAAATTTGAACATACAAATACACACGAAACACACAGAGAAACACACAGCCACAGGCACACGCAGGCATAGACACACAGACACACGCAGAAACACCTACAGACACAGCATAGATACACACAAACAGACACACACACACAGACAAACATGCAGCCAAGCCACCCCGCACATATCCACATACAATCACACACACAGACACACACGCAGCCACACATACAGATAGACATAAAAACACACACACACAGACACACAACACAGACTGACACGCACACTGACACGCAGACAGACACACACAGACACGCACCCAGACACCATACAGACAAACAGACACACGCCTACACACAGATACATACACACAAACGTATACAGTTACCCATGCATACACAGAATCATACATACACACATATGCCTACACACGCCAGCATGTCACACATATACGCATACAAACATATCATACGTACTGCAATTAATTATAACTAGTAATGCATTGTGGATTATTAACTACATTTAAGGTGGCATGTAATCACTGATAATCATGAAATGAAAGAGTTTGCGGTTAAATGAGTAAGGACTTTTTATAGTTTTCAGATCGGGTGGAAGATGGTTCCATAAATGAGCAGCAGAATATGCTAGACTTGTTTTAAATAAATCAATTCTGGGTTTAGGCAAATGTAATAAACCTAGTCGCTTGCTATTCTTAGGATTAGATTGAATAAATCGGTCTATGTAATTTGGCGTATCTTTAGATAGGATTTTGTGAATAAATTTGGCCTTATTAAAAATTAAACGTTTACTAAATGGCAGAAGCCTTAGATGTCCATATAAAAGATTTTTCTCAATGTAGTTTCTATCCGAAACTAGGCGTAAGGCCCCATTTTGTAGAGAACTCAGCCGTTTGACATTAGATTTCTTGTGGACAAGAAGAATATTGCTAATATACTTGATGGACAAGGATACATTAGGTCACTGTTTTCACATTTGTAATTTTAAAACAGTAAGTAAGTTCAGTAAAATGATGAGAAGTTCTTGGATTCAGTTCATCACTGCCATAACTTAATTTTTGTCCACAAAAGATCTGATGGTATCAGAGATAGAATAATGTTGCCATGTATTCCCTGCTGTTTCAAGTTTGGGTTATTGAAAGTAAGATATGCCAATGACAAGGCAAATGCCTGATACAGATCATCCTCTCATCATTAGTAAGGCCAGTTTATTTAATGCTTCAATAGCCTTATCATTCTGTTCAATGGCAGCGGCTGTTGAATCAAATTTTATCCACTTTAGGGAGTTTATTAGCAAAATATTCTGCGAGTTTATTTGCAATGATCTCACTCGTTGTCTAGTGGGTGTTTATGTGTGTGTCGTGAATGTTCTTATCACACACTCTATGTTAACATAACTTGTACAAGCCGACACCGACTTAGCCGTATGAAACATCAGTTTATTGGCATGTTACAACTTACATATGAGTCCAGTCGTTGTCCAAATAACAGCTCTCGCACACCACTTCCCGCAGCCTTCAAGAAGCAGGTTCCTCACGCATTCACTGACCAGAGTCTGCCCTGATGCATCTCGTTGATCTTCTTGACATGACACAGACTGGCCTGGCTGATCTTGACTTCACACGTCGTCGTCTGATTCTCCTTTCACCACAGCAATCTCCCGTTGACATTCATACACTCAGTCTCCCGTCCTTTCGTTCCAACAAGTCGACAAACTTAACTCGATCAGAATCAAGTCTGATCTTATACCACGGGTTAGTTTCACGTGGCAACACGTGGTGGTCCTTTACTTCCACGTGGCGACCTTTGGTCGCGTCATCGTGTTACACGTGATAACTAGTGGTCGTCACCTATCTCAAAACTCTCGTTTAATCCGAGTATCTGGAATATCTTGGTGTTTTGGGTTATTCTTGGGCCTACCCCCCAACCTTCATAATGTGGGTGAAAATATCCCCCATTTGATTATTTATTAACTCTGGGCGTACTATACTTAAGCTGCTTCGCATGTTGTTTAATAAAATAAGTTTTAAACAAACTTGTTAACTATAATTAAACAATAAAAAAAAAAAACAGCTTAGTACAAGTAAAAATGTACTCAATTTCAAAATGTATGCCTGTCCCCTTTGAAACCTCCTGGAGCAGCCTCCTGAGGCAGGACCCCCAGGTTGATAACCACTGTACTAGATAAATGCTACAGTTATAACAGCCGGAGCTGGTTGAACAGTTCCCATCTCAGAATTACCTGTATCCAAGCTACACGGCTAAGCCGGAGCTGGTTGAGCAGTTCCCACCTCAGAATTACCTGTATCCAAGCTACACGGCTAAGCCGGAGCTGGTTGAGCAGTTCCCACCTCAGAATTACCTGTATCCAAGCTACACGGCTAAGCCGGAGCTGGTTGAACAGTTCCCACCTCAGAATTACCTGTATCCAAGCTACACGGCTAAGCCGGAGCTGGTTGAACAGTTCCCATCTCAGAATTACCTGTATCCAAGCTACACGGCTAAGCCGGAGCTGGTTGAACAGTTCCCATCTCAGAATTACCTGTATCCAAGCTACACTGCTAAGCCGGAGCTGGTTGAACAGTTCCCATCTCAGAATTACCTGTATCCAAGCTACACGGCTAAGCCGGAGCTGGTTGAACAGTTCCCATCTCAGAATTACCTGTATCCAAGCTACACGGCTAAGCCGGAGCTGATTGAACAGTTCCCATCTCAGAATTACCTGTATCCAAGCTACACGGCTAAGCCGGAGCTGGTTGAACAGTTCCCACCTTAGAATTACCTGTATCCAAGCTACACGGCTAAGCCGGAGCTGGTTGAACAGTTCCCACCTCAGAATTACCTGTATCCAAGCTACACGGCTAAGCCGGAGCTGGTTGAACAGTTCCCATCTCAGAATTACCTGTATCCAAGCTACATGGCTAAGCCGGAGCTGGTTGAACAGTTCCCACCTCAGAATTACCTGTATCCAAGCTACACGGCTAAGCTGGAGCTGGTTGAACAGTTCCCACCTCAGAATTACCTGTATCCAAGCTACACGGCTAAGCCGGAGCTGGTTGAACAGTTCCCACCTCAGAATTACCTGTATCCAAGCTACACGGCTAAGCCGGAGCTGGTTGAACAGTTCCCATCTCAGAATTACCTGTATCCAAGCTACACGGCTAAGCCGGAGCTGGTTGAACAGTTCCCATCTCAGAATTACCTGTATCCAAGCTACACGGCTAAGCTGGAGCTGGTTGAACAGTTCCCATCTCAGAATTACCTGTATCCAAGCTTCAAGGCTAAGTTGACCCCACAGCTGCTGTGATGGTATAGCAGTCATTTGTAAGTTACAGAATTATTTCTAAACTGACGACTTTTTATGCATACCCGAGTTCTGCGGCCCAGGTTAGTTTTCATACAAGGCACTAGTTTCAGGGTAACAGAACCGGACACTTCCGACTGAAAATACAACAAACAACATTTTTGTAATCTTACTTTAAGTTTCTTTCTCAAGAAAGCGCTAGTGGACAGATCAGTATTGTGTTACCAATCAATTCTTCTTCTTCTTTACTCGCCCTTAAAAGGGCAAGTGACACATTGTGTTGTGGTTTACAGCTAGGTTGTGTCTTTCACCCCAGCACATTAAATGTCAATCATATGCATGGCGATACATGTTACAGAGCAGTAGATCTTTTTTTTTTTTTTTTCCCACAGAAAATCTGGCCCCGGAACGCTTACGAGGAGACTAAATAATCCACATAGCCAGCGACAAATAAAGAAACTTAACACTTATTGTTCTTATTTTTTTAACTTGAAATAAATTGTCTATATGTGCAATGTTATCTTTTGTATAAAATGGTTAACTGGTAATGTTGTGATCAGAAACTAAATTCACAAATTCACTCTGGGAGTACATTCTGGTCATGATTAGAACCAACCTTCTTGTTCTCCTCTTCTTCTTTTACTGTGTTCTTAAATGGGCACAGTGTTGCGGCTTACTGTTAGATTGCAATGTCTGCACCTTTTAACCTAACACATTTAACTGCAGTGAAACCTTTAGTCACCCGAGCAATAAGAACTAGTAATTTTCTGTTATTTGTCTATTGGGTTATCTGTCACAGCCCTGGTCCGGACGGTGGTTGATCAAAGTTTCACTGTACTTTTGATTATTTAATACTGCACAGATTATGTATTTATTGAAACAGGTTGTAGAAGTAAAGTCAGGAAAATAAAGAACCCTTTTTCAACACCTTTAGGTGTATTGGACATGAAGAGGTAGACCTATATTTTAAAGACCATTTGGCACTCGGCGGGTGATGTAGGCAATATCTTACCAGCTGGGTCAACCTGAGAAAGTCAGTTACCATTCAGATTTGAACCTATGACATTCGGATCTGCAGGCAAGTGTACCAAAGTAAAGATTATTAGTTTAATGTATTTTAAAAGAACTTTTTACATAATTGTAAGAGATACAGTGTTACTAATCTTTGCATCCCTTATGGGCTGAGGTAACAGATGGGCCAAGTAGAATTTTAGACTAGTGTATATAAAAAAAAGCTTCTCCTTCTCCTATCTCTGTATATAAATATTTAGATATAGACTTCCCTTTGTCATCAACAAAAACAATGAACTAATGCAAAGAGACTCACCAACATTTCCACAATCCTGTCTGGGTCCAAACCTTTCACAGGCTCTCCATTAATTTCATGAATTTCATCTCCAGCACTCAGCAAACCTAATCAGTGGATTTTATAGATAATTATACATGTCTGTGTGTTGGTGTACACAAACCTAATCAGTGGATATTATACATAATTATACATGTCTGTGTGTTGGTGTACACAAACCTAATCAGTGGATATTATACATAATTATATATGTTGTGTGTTGGTGAACACAAACCTAATCAGTGGATTTTATACATAATTATACATGTCTGTGTGTTGGTGTACACAAACCTAATCAGTGGATATTATACATAATTATACATGTCTGTGTGTTGGTGTACACAAACCTAATCAGTGGATTTTATACATAATTATATATGTTGTGTGTTGGTGTAAACAAACCTAATCAGTGGATATTATACATAATTATACATGTCTGTGTGTTGGTATACACAAACCTAATCAGTGGATATTATACATAATTATATATGTTGTGTGTTGGTGAACACAAACCTAATCAGTGGATATTATACATAATTATACATGTCTGTGTGTTGGTGTACACAAACCTAATCAGTGGATATTATACATAATTATACATGTCTGTGTGTTGGTGTACACAAACCTAATCAGTGGATATTATACATAATTATACATGTCTGTGTGTTGGTGTACACAAACCTAATCAGTGGATATTATACATAATTATATATGTTGTGTGTTGGTGTACACAAACCTAATCAGTGGATATTATACATAATTATATATGTCTGTGTGTTGGTGTACACAAACCTAATCAGTGGATATTATACATAATTATACATGTCTGTGTGTTGGTATACACAAACCTAATCAGTGGATATTATACATAATTATACATGTCTGTGTGTTGGTGTACACAAACCTAATCAGTGGATATTATACATAATTATACATGTCTGTGTGTTGGTGTACACAAACCTAATCAGTGGATATTATACATAATTATACATGTCTGTGTGTTGGTATACACAAACCTAATCAGTGGATATTATACATAATTATACATGTCTGTGTGTTGGTGTACACAAACCTAATCAGTGGATTTTATACATAATTATACATGTCTGTGTGTTGGTATACACAAACCTAATCAGTGGATATTATACATAATTATACATGTCTGTGTGTTGGTATACACAAACCTAATCAGTGGATATTATACATAATTATATATGTTGTGTGTTGGTGAACACAAACCTAATCAGTGGATATTATACATAATTATATATGTCTGTGTGTTTGTGTACACAAACCTAATCAGTGGATATTATACATAATTATATATGTCTGTGTGTTGGTATACACAAACCTAATCAGTGGATATTATACATAATTATACATGTCTGTGTGTTGGTATACACAAACCTAATCAGTGGATATTATACATAATTATATATGTTGTGTGTTGGTGAACACAAACCTAATCAGTGGATATTATACATAATTATATATGTCTGTGTGTTTGTGTACACAAACCTAATCAGTGGATATTATACATAATTATATATGTCTGTGTGTTGGTATACACAAACCTAATCAGTGGATATTATACATAATTATATATGTTGTGTGTTTGTGTTCACAACCTTAATCAGTGGATATTATACATAATTATATATGTCTGTATGTTTGTGTGTGTACACAAACATATAGCTCTCTCTCTCCCCAAAGCAGTGATTGGTAACACCTGGGCCCCTTGACAGCAGATGGACAATGTACTAAGGATACCCAATGTAGATTATTTCAAGTCACTCCTCTTTTCAATCTCTCTTTCTCACACACACACACACACACACAAGAGAAGTCACTCCCCTCCTCTCTCTCTCTCTCTCTCTAACACACACACACAAGAGAAGTCACTCCCCTCCTCTCTCTCTCTAACACACACACACACACACAAGAGAAGTCACTCCCCTCCTCTCTCTCTCTCTCTAACACACACACACAAGAGAAGTCACTCCCCTCCTCAATCTCTCTCCTCCTCCCACCCACACACGCACGCACACATACTTCTGAATTGTTATCTTATTGCAGAACTTGAGTCTTGCAAGCACAGACCTTTCACAGATAGGACTTACTTGTATAAACACTGTTGGTTTCTCACCTCTCAGGCAGATGATGCACTCAAGCTTCACAGGAAACATGCCTAAATATTCTACTCTCACGTTACGTTTTTGGGACGGTGGGCAGTAGGTCTATCCCCCCCCCCCCCCCCCCCCCCCCCCCCCCCCCCCCAACCCCTTTCCCCACAATGTGGCCCCAGAACACACACGGGGACAATGGCCTAAAAAGAATTCTTGACTGTCACTTTACAAAGAAAACAAAGGGTACAGATAGTTTAGCAATCCAACTAGGCTGTGGGGAGTCCCAGTGGTATAGCGGCTAGACCAGCGGTTCTCAACCTATTAGTCACGACCCTTTCACAGGGGTCACCAAAGACCATCACAAAACAAATATTCATTGAAGTTATGAAGTAGTGATGAAATCAATTTGTATGGTTGGGTGTCGCCACAAAATGAGGAACTGTATTAAAGGGTCGCCACAAAATGAGGAACTGTATTAAAGGGTGCCACAACAGGAGGAACTGTATTCAAGGGTCGCCACAAAATGAGGAACTGTATTAAAGGGTCGCCACAACAGGAGGAACTGTATTCAAGGGTCGCCACAAAATGAGGAACTGTATTAAAGGGTCGCCACAACAGGAGGAACTGTATTCAAGGGTCACCACAACAGGAGGAACTGTATTAAAGGGTCGCCACAACAGGAGGAACTGTATTCAAGGGTCGCCACAACAGGAGGAACTGTATTCAATGGTCGCCACAACAGGAGGAAATGTATTCAAGGGTCGTGGCATTAAGAAGGTTCAGAACCACTGGGCTAGACTCTGGCCTGCAGATCAGAAGGTCATGGGTTTGGGTCCTGATGGAACCAGACTTATTGTCAAAAATAACCATAGCTCTCAGGTCAACCCAGCCTGGAGTGGGTACCAGGTCAACCCAGCCTGGAGTGGGTACCAGGTCAACCCAGCCTTGAGTGGGTACCAGGTCAACCCAGTCTTGAGTGGGTACCAGGTGCAGTCCTGGCAAGTAAAGGTGGCCCCCATCATCCACTAAGGGTCAATTGGTCTATAAAATATAGGTCTAGCCCTATGTGCCCAATACACCTGAAGGCATGGAAAAGGGTCCTTTACTTTAACTAGGCTCTGTTTCCTAATCAAGGAGGTATTCATGGACCTTCTGTACTATATCCAAACCCCGCTGCATCCCCCCCCTCCCCATAACCCCAGTGACTTGGCTGTACTTACCACTCCTGTGTGCTGCCCCTCCGTGAAGTACCCTGGCAATCTCCACACATCCTGTACGCTCGTTGAGGTAGATGGTAGCTCCCTGTTGATGCACTTTTGAACATTGAAGCAGGTGTGACAGGTATTTTGTCACTTCACATTTATACACATGTGTCACTTCCAAACAGTATATAATTTGCCATTTTCATTCCTGTGTGTACGTGCGTGTCTGTGTGTGTTCTCTTCTCATACTTATTGACATATACTCCCCTATTGTGGGTTCGGGGGCCCCCACTGTGGATTAAAATAAGAATAGACCCACTGGCCTTTTAACAAACATGACGTAAAAGTCGACTAATTATGGGTGTTTCTCTCAAAGTTTGAGTGCATCTGCCTGAGAGGTGAGGAACCAACAGTCTGCATACACAAAAACCAGATCTGTAAAAGAGATGTGCACACACACCTCAAGTTTTACAACAAGACTAAAGTCCAGAAGCTTTCCACCACAGTTTACAGTCAGCAAATGCGAACAATAAGAAGACTAATATTCATTTGCAACTTATTTCAACATCTATTTTTCCATTGTCAGCCACGTATATTTACTGTCACTTACATTAATACATATCTTGTCAGTGTCATCAGAATAAATGTTGACAGTTTCATTAACATACATTTCTCCAGTTCTATTAGAAATTTTCTCTACTTCCTTTAGAATACATTTATTGCCACTTTAATTAATATAAATTTTCTCTTCTTCCATTTGTATACATTTATTGTCACTTTAATTAATATACATTTTCTCTACTTCCATTAGTATACATTTATTGTCACTTTAATTAATATACATTTTCTCTACTTCCATTAGTTTACATGTATTGCCACTTTAATTAATATACATTTACTGCCACTTTAATTAATATACATTTTCTCTACTTCCATAAGTATATATGTATTGTCACTTTAATTAATATACATTTTCTCTACTTCCATTAGTATACATTTAATGCCACTTTAATTAATATACATTTTGTCTTCTTCCATTAGTATCCATTGTTTGTCACTTTAATTAATATACATTTTCTCTACTTCTATCAGTATCTATTTATTGTCCCTTTAATTAATATACATTTTCTCTACTTCCATTTATACATATTTATTGTCACTATACATTTTCTCTACTTCCATTTATACATATTTATTGTCACTTTAATTATTATACATTTTCTCTACTTCTATTTATTCATATTTATTGTCACTTTAATTATTATACATTTTCTCTACTTCCATTTATACAAATTTATTGTCACTTTAATTAATATACATTTTCTCTACTTCCATTTATACATATTTATTGTCACTTTAATTAATATACATTCTCTCTACTTCCATTTATACATATTTATTGTCAGTTTAATTAATATATATTTTCCCTACTTCCATTAGTATATATTTATTGCCATTTTAATTAATAAACATTTTCCCTACTTCCATCAGTTTACATTTATTGTCACTCTAATTAATATAAATTTTCTCTACTTCCATTAGTATACATTTTTTGTCACTTTAATAAATATACATTTTCTCCACTTCAACTAGTATATATTTATTTCCACTTTATGAATATAATTTTCTTCACTTTCATTAGTGTGTATATATTTAATGCCACTTTCTTGAACATACACTTTCCAACAAACAAGCAAACAATTTGGCCACCTAGTAACAGAACATTTTTCTCCAAGCAACAGTATCATTGAAATAATTACACTAAGTCTCTGGCTCACCAAGGGCTCGTTGTTTTTGATCAGTCTGACAATCTTGACTATAGTTCCCTCGTCTCCAGCTCCGTTTGGCACTGGGTCAATTCTTGGTTCATAATCTTCACAAGCTACTTTGTCATGACTAAACAGAAGAGCCTGTGGACAAGAAGAAAAGATAGAATCTGTTGCCATCAAACACTCATGAAAAAACATGGTACAGGAACTCAAACTGTAGGAGAAAGATGCTAAACAACACTCTTACAGTCATCAAAACTAATAGATAAGGAAGACAAAAAAAACTGTAATGAGAACAGAAAATGAATCAAGACATATTTGTGTTAATGAGGACAGTGATGGAGGTCAACAAGTCAATGTAAAGGACCTTTTTTGTTTTACATGATGCTTGATACAGACCAAATGGCATTCAATGATTAACATCAAGCCAGCTGCCGTCACTTCCGGGACATTACCTAGTACCCATTTTAGATTGGGTTAGTCTGAAATCCAAGGTCGATACTCAAGAAGAAAAGCCAGCCTCGGTGTAGACTGGAACCCAAGACCTGAGGCTGGCAGGCAAGCATCTAGCTACTATGCTGACTACCAACAGATGACAAGAAGCTAAATAATAATATTAAAACAGAGAGAAAGAGGCCATTTAATACTGTTAGGGGAACAAAAACTGGAGGAGACATAAATATAATATAATGTCTTTACAAAAAAGAATATAAATGGAGAAAAGTCCCACAAATGAAACATAAGCTGAAAGTGATAGGGAAAGAAAGCAGCCAACTGGTACTGATGGAGGAAACAAATCAAATAACATTGTTAAGAAATAATCGGTGGTAGAGGTGTTAGAATACCAGACACTGACATTTGGGAGCAATGTCTTTCCACTTTGTAAAGCATTTGGCTCTGAATGAAAATGCTCTCCCTCTGCCTCATTTTAGGCAGGACAAGGAACACTGTAGCTGTTTTCCTAACAAGCATTTTGTGATTAATTAGGGTTTTACAGAAACCAGATGTGGCAATGATTTCACAGTCTAGATGTTAAACACAACACAACATGATAACTGCCTTCTTAACCATGACAGTAGAAGAAGAAGAAACTGACACAGAACACATTCTGATAACACTATTAGAATAAATAAATGGCAGAGTTGTGAATGAATGATACAAGCATTGACATCAATGCACACAAGACATTCCCACATGTGCTCCATCCCTTTCCTCAGCAGCTAATGAAGAGTTCCCTTACCGATGGAGCCAGCTGCAAGCTGAGAAAAGTCTGCCTGTCTTTTCATTGATTAAAGCTTTAACAGAACCAATCTCTGACAGATGGGAACAGTTAATTTTTACTAGGTAAAGCAGTGGGTTTCTGAATAAAGTGTAATGTGCTCATCTAGGGGCATGTATTGTTTACATTGCTTTCAGACGAACAGTGAGTTGAAACGACACAGCATGAACGAATATTGAGTTCTTCGCTTTTATTCGTTGAATCGCCAGTTATCGCAAACATACATTCATGCTTCCTCGTGCTCGACTTGCTTGGCTGAATCTAGCGACCTGGACGGACTTCCCACACACTACAGGAATTTATCCGTGCTACTCGAACCATCCATCTATACTTCATGGACTCTGATATCTGACATTACGACGTATGGAAAAATATTCAGTCCTCCTATTGAAATATAACGTTCACTTGACAAATCATTTATTCTTCTCAGGCGTTCATTCACGCGTCCTCTCTCAGTCAGGGCAGAACTTCAACTGTCTTACTTCAGTCTCTCGGTTCACGTCTTCCGTTCACGTCTCATGCTTTTCTTGTGTCTCTCACTTCGTTTACCATGAGACACACGAGACTCACTTCTCCCGTTTTTCTCTTCTCTCACGGGTCCTCCGACCTTTTTCTCCCCATCGGGAACTCTCTGGGGTTTCCCCGGGAATTCACAACATTACAATCTCCCCCTCCCTTCTAGTAAAAAAAATTTAACCTTAAAATTTTTTTTCTATTACTTTATCTTTAGGTTATAATTTTAAAGGTTTGGGAATACTTTAATGTAATGATGTGGATTACCTAATAATCATTTTGGGTTTTAATGGTTACTTCCCTTTTGATAGGTTTTACATTATTTCCCTTTGTCACATTACCAGTTATAAGTACCAATAAGTACCAAGTGGCTTAATGGGAAACAACCATTCAGGCACTCTCTTCCAAGTGCGGTAGTCCATATAGGCTCTGCGTATTAACCCCATGCCATCCCACAGTCTGTATAAAACAGAACAACAATTCTGGTACTCTCTTTCAAGTACTGAAGTCCATATCGGCTATGGAACAGAAATGTAGAAAACCTGCAAAGTCCCACCCTCACCGTTGGACTCATGGTTACTGTCACTGGTTTACGTTTCAATTAGAAACCTATGTTTCCCTATTTAGGATTTCGAACTCAATCCCTTGGATTATGTGGTGTAAATTACCCATTACTTTTCCGAAAAAGTATTATTATTCCCATTCTATATCATAGTAATTACCCTTTTACATGTTATACAACCTATATTTTCACCAATAAATTTATCTAAACAACATATGTAATCATTATTAAACCTTATTTCGCCATGTTGTAACATCTTCATTGTCATAATCATCATCATTATTGTCATCATCATCATCGTTATCATCATCATCATCATCATCATCATCATTGTTGTTGTTGTCGTTATCAGCATTATTGTCATCATATTCATCTCATCGTCATCATCATTCTCCTCATTATAGTCACCATTGTCACACGTATATTGTTGCTTACTTACAAATGTAACATACATAAAAATCATCAGTTAAGCTATGTTTACATATTTCATTCATTCAACCATATTCTTTCCTGTAATTCAGGATTTCCCCAGGTAATACATACAATACAAAATTGAATCTATGTTTATAATCTGGACATCACGTCGGGTAGATGGTTTTCAATGCCCTTAATGTGTTCTATCTTGAACTGAAATTGGGATAATAATAACGCCCATCTGTATACTCTTGCGTTATTTGTTGCATCCATTGTTAACAATTTTGTCAGGCCTAAGTTATCAGTCAGAATAATATGATTCCTTTCCTATCAAGAATTTTTGGAATTTTTTAAGGCTGATAACAAGAGCGAGAGCCTCTTTTTCAAAAGTACTGTATTTCTGTTGGGTGGAATTAAGTTTCTGTGAAAGATATAGAACCGGAAGAAGAGTACCGGAATGCCTTTGAGCCAACATCGCGGCTATGGTATGACCACTAGCGTCAGTTTGTAGGTAGAAAGTTTTAGATGGGTCCGGTTGTCTTAGTATTGGTGGAGTAGCAAATGAAGACTTGATTTTTTGTATGATTTTGTCATGAGTTTCTGTCCAATCCTTTTTTCTAAACTGGTCTTTTTTCAAAAGTTCCGATAGAGGGGCTGTTAGTTCTGCTAACTTAGGGATGAATTTGCCGTAATAATTTACAAGTCCTAATAGTGCCTGTAGTTGTTTCTTGGTCTTTGGTCTTTCAATTTTTAAAATTTTAGAAACAATTGTCTCGTCAGTCTGAATACTACCCTGGAACACTGTATGTCCTAAAAAACTGGATTTGTGTGAAACAAAACTCTGATTTCGCTGGATTAACAGTCAGATTTGCCTTTTGAATGTTGCTGAACACTTCTTTCAAGGTGTCTATGTGTTCCGGCAAAGTTTTTGTGTGTATGCAAATATCATCCATGTATGCTGTTACATTATTAATACCTGTTAATACCTTTCTTATGAGTTTTGTGAATATTTTTGCTGCGTTTATCAACCCAAATGGTAAACGTAACCACTGTTTTAAACCGAGTGGGGTTTGGAAGCTAGTATACCTGCTGGCTTTCTGTGTCAATGGAATTTGCCAGTACCCTTTACAAAGATCTAATTTCGTAAAGAATTTTGAATTGTACAAATTCTGGATTATGTCCTCTGTTGAAGGAATGGGTTCTGATTCCAAATGAGTGATAGCATTTAGTTTTCTGTAATCTACACATAATCTCAAACTGCCGTCTTTCTTTTTTACAATTACCATTGGTGAGCTGTATTCTGACGTTGAGTCTTCGATTATGCCGTCTGCTTGTAATTGTTTCAGTTCCTCTACTACTTTTTTCAGTATAATGAATGGGAATAGCATAGTTTCTAGCTTTCACCGGAATGGTTGAGTTCAACTGGATGTCGAAATGAATTATATCGGTTTTCCCAGGTTTGTTGGTAAAAATATTTTTATATTTTTCGATTACCCTCTCGATTTTTTCTTTATCTCCCGTTGGCAACTCGGGGTTTATCTTTACAGACCTCCAGTTGATCTCATCCTTCACTGACGGTGTTGGTAATTCGTCATTAATAGCGTCAGTTATTTGTTCATTGATCATGTTACAAGCATTGACATTTTCTACAATATCATCACTAACATTTCTTGTAAAATACCTTTTCATCATGTTAACATGAAAAATTTTCAATTTCCCTTTATAATCAATTTCATAATCAACATTTGACACTTTTCTTACTACAGTGTAAGGGCCACGCCATTCGATATATAATTCAACTGAATCTTTTGGTAGAAACCCACTTTTGACCGGGTTCGAAGGCCATCAGTTTGGAACTCCTATTTGCAAACATTCGCTGCGTATGTTGCGTGGGCATCTGCCTTTTTGTACTTCCATGTTACTAATACATCATTATGAAACACTATAATGGGTGGTTTCTAAATATTGTTATACCAGATACATGATAATTAATTCCGTGCTAATGTATATAGACACAATTAAAACTGTTTAATTAAAGTGGACTGGTTAACCTAATATCACAATATATTAAAATAATCTGCTTGCTGTATGTGACTGCTGTTACCGACAAGTTGTATGTGTAATCACAGAATGAGGAAAGTGTTTAGAATAAACCATGTGTAGAAGCAATAGTTTTAGTAGTAGCAATGCAAGTAGTGTAACACTTTTGAGAAATTGACAGCTTTTGATAATCCCCAGGACTTGTGAATTGAAGTTTTTCCGACTAGGATAATTAGTCACCAAAAGTTGCACTATTTGAATAGCATAGATAGTACAGAATAACTCTAAGTTCTTTGTCTGGAATGTTGTCAAAATAATCTGCAATATAATTAA